CTTAAAAAAACAAAAAGAAAAACCACATACTCAAAAACGTAAAAAAAAAAAAACGCCACCCCCAAACAACACATTAAAAAAAAAAAAAAAAAAAAAAAAAAAAAAAAAAGTTTAATAAAAAAAAATAAACTTAACTTTCATAATTTCATTACTTATCTTAACAAACTTACTTATTTAAACTTTATTATCAAAATTTACTTTTCTTACAAAACTATATGCTTCTATTCAAATCTAATTGAAAAATTACACCACTTCGATTATTTTACAAGTTTCTACAAGTTCTCGCCAAGTTTATCTATAGAAAAAACATCTTAAATACAATAAAATCATGAAGCAAAAACCTATAAGAATTCAGTAAAACCAGTCAAACAAATAAAGCATTCAGTTATTTTTTTACACACCTTCCATTTTTATATTCTTTCTCTTACTATAATCTGTCATCTCATGCGTTGTTATAGGAAAAGAATCGATTTTAATATAGAAGAAGATGTTTTTCAATGATACTTAAAATCTACTATAAGTAGTAATACTCATAAAATAAATGAAGTCACATCGTGTTATGAAAAAAGAATCGGGTTTATATTAATTAAAGATATGAACCGCAAATTACACATACTATAAATAATATACCAATTACTTTAAATCTATTATAATTCATTTGTTTATAATACTTATGAATTATTTATATTATCTGTTTAATGTTCGGTTCATATCAAAAATATTAATGATAAAAGTACTTTTTGATAATACCTGAAATCCACTAGACGCAATTATATATATCGAATAAATGGAGTCACTTTATTTATGAAAAAAGAATCAACCTGATTTTAATAAAGGATTTCTCAACAATATCTGAAGTCTACTAAAGATGATAATACAGATAGAATAAATCGAATTGCGTAGTGTTATAAGAAAGAACCATTATATATTTAATACATGATTTTTATAACTTTCGCTAATATTAATTACTCTAACATTATAATCAATTATGTTAATCAACAAAATATAATTATCCCCAAAGACAAATTGTAATTAATTTTCTTAAATTTTTTATAATCAATTATGTTAATCTACAAAATATAATTATTTACTATTAGTTGACAAAATCTTCTAATAAAATTATCAAAGTTTTTGATTATTTTTGTATAGTTTTTTGTCAACATTAAAAATGACTTTTACGTCTATCTTTTAGTACGCTCTTCCAAAGTACTTCGCACAATATAAATAAATTATATAGCAATTGACTTATATCAACCAATCAAATCAAAGTTATTCTATAATAGATCATTAAATTTTATAATTAGTAACTTGAATTCAAAGTAAAAATTAGACCCGTATGAGAAAATCTCTACCAGGTATATATTATCTCTAATCTTAACAGTAATAACCTTAAGTTATTTTGTCTACACTACAAAGTACTCTTCCTGTTAGATGTTCTGCAAATATATACACAACTATTATGTAATTGCGATGCATATTAAAATATCACCCTGCTTTTCATAAATTACTCAACACATCTCCTTAAAAAAATTGGTGTGTCTATCACCTGTTACTCCTCATTAATTCCTTATTAAATAAATAAATTCCATATTATACCAAATCATCAAATACTGCATATCAAAAAGTTAAATTTGGAAATGCCAACTCCTGAAATATTAAATATTACTAATCGCAATAAAAACTATTCTGTAAATAGCAACTGTCACTCATATTAAGTCTTTTCGAAAACATTCAGCCCGGTTTAGATAAATCAAGAACATATATATTTAAAGCCAATTACTTTAGAAAATATAAAGAATTATATAATTATTATTATATCAAAAATCAGATCTAAAACACCAACTCTTAAAAAATTAAATATATACTAAATAACTGCAATAAAAACAATACTATAAATAATAACTATCACTTATATAAGTTTCTTCTAAAATATAAGCCTGGTTTAGATAAATCGAGTATATATATTCAAAGCCAATTTTTTTAATACAAGAAATATAAAGAATTATATAAACTATTAAACGAAGAGAAATTTGTAAAAAAAATATTTAAACCTCATTTTTTAATCTTGATTTAATTTCAGAATTCATGCTCAAAACTTAGTATTTAAATTAGACTCAATTCAATATTATTATATATATATTTAACAAAAAAAAAATAAAAATAAAAGTAAAATAAATAAAAAATGATGCACCAGCTCTATACCATATATATATTTGATGACGAATATGAAAACGAATCGCTAGTAGACCTATCTTCTCAATTCACGTCTCAATATAATGAATCGAGTAATGCTACTAATTCCACGTCGTCTACTACAATTACTAATGATCCTCAAACACATACACATATTGAAGACCCTCAACAAAACTCCAAAAATTGTATGATAAATTCCAAAACTTTATTTTAGTTCAATGGCCTTGAATTGCTTGCATGTACTGTAGAAGTCTCTTATATCCCAAAAAAGCATCTTGGATACTTTATAATCAGTTAATTACTTATCCTTTACAACAACATATATCTAGCGATTCCTTATCCTTTTACTCTGATACTAGTCATATTACAGAACCCAGAATACCTACTTGTAATTCTTACAAAAAACCTACAACAAGATTTTCGTTTCCTTATTTTTTGCCTATGCCTGAAAAAATTACTTTTGTCCCTTTACACCTAAGAAAATATTTATTACTAGTATATCTTCATTGTTCTCTAAGTAGAACGCCAAATAGTAATCCTTATACTGAATATAAAAGTCTAATAGGAATCATAAATTATTTGCATAATATCAGAGCTCATACATTATACTCTGGAATTTTAGGTGCTTTTCTAGATCCAGACAATACCAATAATAACAATTCAATTAATAACTCAATTAATGACAAACTTTACAACATGCTGCCAACTGGTTAGCTGAAAATAATCACCTTCACCCATTTACTAACCTCTTATTACAATGTAATCAAAATGGTCCTTTTTCAAGAGCACAACATGTTCAAACCAATAATGACGTTCCTTCTGTCAATTCACATGAAATAATAGTACCAAATTATAATTTTTCTGACGAAGTTCACAATAAAGATTTTTACTACACCAGGTTAATGGTGGGTTTTATCTAAGAAAGTGACACATTACGTTTGCTCATTCCCACCTATGTTTCTAATCTAGAGCTATTACTTTTCTCTGACCTATTTATAGATAGAAAAGGTTATTATCATGATATTTCAAACCAATCTACATCAGAAAACAAACTTTGTGAAGAAATATACAGCAAATATATTAAATTACGCTTAATGAATATTAATCCAAGATGGAGACTTCATACCTACTGGCCTTCCTAGTCCTATCTTCAATTGGAAAAATTAAGACATCATCAAAATACACAAAGATTACTTCAATGTACTAACCCAACCCTTACTAATGCTGAATGCCTCCTATCAGGAAGAGATTTATTTCGCTCTAGCACCTATACCCCAAATAATATAATTAATGAAAATATAACTACCCCTATTCCATCATTTATATGTATGGGTGATACCTATTTTCATCAAAAACAACTCTATCTAAATGCTATGATATGAAAATTTGGTTTGCCTACTCTATTTATAACTTTAACTATAGTAGAAAGCCGATAGTCCCATCTTCATACTATACTCTCTACCACTGACAATCGTGACATGCTACCAACAAATAGGCTATTTTACTGTACAAACTATTTTGTACATAGATTTTAATTATTAAAAAAAGAACTTTATAAAAAACCTGACCTCACAGACTTCAGTGATATTACTAATTTCTTTGACAGAGTTTAGTTTCAAAATCGAGGTGGAGCCCATACTCACAGCTGCTATTAGGTAACTAACACTATTCAAACTATGATCCAAAAAAACGTAATACGATCAACTATGCCAGACCCATTATATAAACCTGAACTTTATGCCACATTCACAGCCAACCAAATACATACTTGTAATGAAAAATGCCAAGAGCCAAATTTTCTATTTCAAATATATAAAAAAGGATTTCCCCACCCCTATAATAAAATAACCCATTACGAAGAAGATAACTGCCATTATATATACAAATGCCTAACTGAAGCTAACTCATAGGTTGTCTCTTATCATACCCTGACTCTTTTACTTTGGAATACCTACATGAATGTGCAATATATAACAGATAAAAGCTTTGTATAATATATAGCGAAATACATTGCAAAAGCCAAACCTTCCTATATTTTTAACATCTATAAAAACGATTCATTAAGAGAACATGTTATCGCATGAAGACTTGGTTCAATGGAGCTCATGTTTCTACTTTTAGAGCATTAAATATATAATTCTTCTGCCATAGTAAAATTTCTTACTACTGATCCTCCACCTATTAGAACAAGATTAGTACTTTCTGCTCATATGTTAGATAAAAATTATGAAAATCTGTACTATAATGATGCTATTATGAAATATGCACCGTCCCCATGCTCTCGAATTTGAAAATCTCACCTACCTACAATACTTCAAAAAATATACCATCACTCCCTTTTGATCAATAATGACCCGTTCCGTTCATCAAGACCAATTGTCCAACAATGTCGTAAAACGTACAAGAGAAATTATAGTTAGATATTGCCAACTCAAAATCGATGATGGTGAAATTTATTTTTATCAACAATTACTCTTAAACCATCCTGCGAGAAGTAAAACAGACTATAAAAATAATATAGACCAAACTTACTGTGACAAGTTTTTATTATTACACTCAGACTTTTTAACTAATTTACAAAGCCAAACTACAACAACACATCGTTCACAATTAGCTTATCTAAACAATTAATTTATTAAAATGTTAGACAGGTTACTACAATTATTAAATAAATAATTACCTATTGATCTTTACCAAATTATCCAAACCTAGTTAGAAAATCTAAAAATTCTTCTACACATTTTTCCAATTACTGCCATACTCGAATTACCACAAGACCAATACACCACTTTATCAACCATAACCATGTATATGAGCAAAGCAAATAGTACCAAATAGGCTTATTACTTTGTAATAGGCTCAGCAGGAACCAGAAAATTGTACATCATTTATATGATAACGAAAATGCTTGATCAAAGAAGATCCAATTATTTACTACTTGCATCCACAAGAGTAGCAGCCCAAAACATAGAAGGAAAAACAATACATTCTGAACTACAATTCATATTTACCCAAACAGGATTTATCTCAAAAGCTTTTACAAATAGAGAATTTTGAACTCATCTACAAAAAATCGACACATTAATTATCAAAGAAATATCCATAGTTTCTGCTAAACTACTAAACTATATATCCAACCTATTTGCAAGTCTACACAACTATGCTATTGCTTTTGGCAAAATCAACGTAATAGTTGTTAATGATCTTTTTTAACTTCCTCCTGTTTCCAGTCAACTAGTATTTAAATCATCTGTTTGGTCACTATTTTATTCTCTATTTCTAAAAACCACCCAACATCAAAACAATGATACCTAATTTTTAAACTCTTAGAAGAAGTCTGAATAGATAGAATTTCTACAGAAAGCTGAGATCTATTATATCAATGCCACTTTCAGTTTGTAAGCCATCCTGCATTAAATACACTTCTTCATACAACTCATATCATAGGCTTCAGAGAAAACACCCAACAAATAAACAGAATAATTTGTAACTT